TTTTATCAGTAATAGACTCACCATTCTTTTGGGAGCTATGTCACACTGATAAGGAATATGAGGAATTATCTTCTCAGATATACCAGATAAGAGTATTGTTATCCAAAGACATGGTGCCTCTAATCTCAGTGTACTGACCTATGAATGTAAGCCAATACTCCAGGTAGTGGACCTTCTCCCTTATGTGAATTCCTGACATGGGGAATTTCTTCTGCATTTGAGAACACTGAAAACTTTTGAATACCACCCCTTTCATTAAACTCGTTAGAAAAATAAAGAATACTGCTTTAATGAACTGAATTACTAATTACTAATCTCTCCCTTCTCCTGTAGGGTGACTCCGGAGGACCACTGGTTAGTCCAGATGCTAGAGATATCTGGTACCTTGCTGGAATAGTGAGCTGGGGAGATGAATGTGCACAACCTAATAAGCCCGGTGTTTATACTAGAGTGACTGCTTTCCGGGACTGGATCCGTTCCAAAACTGGTATCTAAGAGAGAAAACCCTAGTAGAATGGAGCACATTTTTGTGTATGGGCCATTCTCAGAGATACAGAATCACAGAAGTCTTGCAGGTCCCTTGGATCTGACCCATCTAACTAAACTGTCTGCTTTATATTTCCTTCCTAGCTCTGCTCCACACTGAGCATCCTGTTTCTGCAGATAGATTCTGTCCCACTTTGCATTCATTTGTTTTCTAGAAGTTTTGTCATCAAAATTTTGGCTTGTTGACATAAATTTCTTATGCATATCTACAATTTGAAGTGATTCCTTCTTTCATTTCCCCAGTTTCTCTCATCTTAGTAAATCTCCACTTTTAAGGTGCAGGACAGAGTGAAAGGAAATGTAAAAAGGAAAGAGCTACATTTTTATGTACAGAGTATTAGGAGGTTTTTTTCCTTAATGGAATAAGGAAAATGATCACATTCATTATGACAGGTCAAGCAAACTGACTTCAGAACACCAAATACTTAATGATGGAGAAAGAATGGGAATTAAGGAAATGCACAGAAACCAAGATATAGTTTTATTTTCATTTCTAGCTAACAACTACAGAGATAAACGTGGGGATGATTCTGTTTTCCTGTGGCCTACAATAATTATACAAACTCTATATAATGTACTTGTTCTAAGTTAAAGCAAATAATATTTATTTAATATTGTACTGTTGAAGATATCAATATATAATAATAAAAATATCCCTTTGCTTGCTATTATGATAGTTCATGAAGAAGGGGAAGATGGGAAAATAATATTACTCAATGTATTGCAAATTCTTTTAAAATCTGAGGCTATGAAAATTCATTTGAGAACAATCAGTATACCTTATGTGTTAAGATTTTTTGTTGTTGTTGGATAGAAGAGAATGAAGAGAGAATCAGTCCAAACTATTGAATGAAATAGGATTATCACCAAGTGCTTCTGTATTTGTGTTTAAAGCTTTTTCAAATACAAAGCCTTGAAGGGAATAAGGTCCTGGTGTTAGTGTGTAGTTATAGTCATGCAAATGGAGGCCAGACCTCCATTTTGAGATGTTGGCACATCTTTGCCTGCTACTGCATTTCTGGCCTATGCTTGGACCCCTGGCCTATTAGACTTATTTGGGCTTAGATGTGAAGATATCAGAGGAATTTATCCTGGAAGCTGCCTCCCTGCTATGTCTCGTGTAGCACTGAATTACTAACTGCTTGCAGACGAAACTGAAGAGTAAAAGCCAAATATCAACTACTTTCATAATTTTAGTTTTGGTGAATAACTACTGAGCAGTTAGAGACACAGCATGCCAGTGATTTAGGCCATTATGAAGTTAGTTATAACTCATGCCATTACATATGTTCTGTTAACATGGTGAGATTTCACTAAATTTTTCCATTACCCTTGCCTCCTCATCCAAGTTCTCTATTGGACCATAACCACTTTGAAAACCAACATTAGTAGGAAAAATTTGACTTTTACTAACCCAAATAAAATTGGCATATGAACTGGTAAGATTTAGGTGCTTGCTGAAATAAAATGGAAACTGACATGAATTTACAGTGTGAAATATTTTGCATAAATTATTTTTGTTTCATTTAATAGATATTTTGAAAAAAAAAAATTGAGGCAAGTGGTGAATTTTAAACAAAGATTTAAGTACATTTCAAACGAAATCACGCTCAGTGTTCCATTCCAAATGGATTCCCTTGTTTCAGTACATTCTGCAGTTGGGCCTCTAGGTGGCACCTGCAAGCTGTAGGAAGATCTAGGGAAACCAATGTCTGGATCTTCAAGTAATAAAAAGCATAGTAGAAATTCTGTATTAGGGTCTTATAAAACCAAAAGAATACAATTCCTCTTTCTGAAGCCACTTAAAAATTAATACATATAATTTGACATCATGATTAATATTTTCCAGATTTCTGGAGGTAATTTTCCAAACTAAAAACTTATAACATGTGATGTGAGTAATTTCTTCGGCAAATAAACTTGAAGAGACTTAAATTAAGGAGAAATTTTAGAAGTTTAATTTGACAATGGCATCATAGTCCTCAGAGAAATATTTCTGATGCTTTCTTTTACAAAAATTTTGAGAAACAGAGGTTGAATCACAGTGAAAATATGGGAACAGTTCAAACTTCATGTGCACAGAGAAATAGATAATACAGTATATCATACTTTTAAAATAATTTCTTTTGAAAGGTAACATGTAAAGAGTTTCAGCATTCTTGAACATGTCTATTTTAACTATCTCATTGGAGAAAGATAAGAAGTCATGACAGGAATAATATTAATTGTACAAGAGATAAGGAGTTCCTTCTATTATCTTTTATCCCTCTTCCCAGAGTATCTAGTAAAGTGCTCTATGTGTGATTGGCTTTCAGTAAGAATTGTTTTATTTTTTATTATGCAGAAAACATAGCTTTATTATTGTTTACCCGTTGATTTTAAGAAGCAATCCAGATTTTATATCAACTGTGTGACTTAAGCCAGCTGATTAAACACTCTAAGCCTCAATATACCCACTTATAAGACAGGGATAATGATATTTACCTCGAATGATTGATTGTAAGGATTAAAATGATATACTGTTTGAAAGTGCTTAGCACAGTTCTTAGAACATAGTAGGTGCTCAAAAAATAGTAACTATTATAACTATTGTAATTAAACTATAATCTTGTTTTAAACAATTGGTACTTGATCATAATAGCTTGAATAAATATTTTGGAAATGAAGAGATAATTAGACTAACAGAATGGGCTGGCTGCTTGTTTAATGATGACTCCTCCTGAGGCTTCCTTGACTCCCTCAAGTGGATATAACATCCTCTTTTCTGAAATTCCTTACCATCTAAAAAAAAAAAAACTTAAAAAAATTTTTTCAGAAAATCATAGATTTACATACAGTTGTTAAATATAATACAGAGAGGTCCTGTGTATCCTTTACCTAGTTTCTCACAATGGTAAACATCTTGCTTACTACAGTATAATATAACAACCAGGAAGTTGACATTGAGATAATCCTTCAGTCTATCAATTTTATTCAGATTTCACTGATTTTAAAAACATGCAATTATATGTGTATGTGTGTATTTAATTCTATGTAATTTTATCATGTGTGGATTTGTGTAACTACCACCACAGACAAGATGCAGCATAGTTTGATCTCGAGGATCCCTTAAGCTACCTCAGCCACCTGGTTTCCTCCCTATGCTTGTCCTCAGTCTCTAACTCCTGGTACCACTAATCTGTTCTGTATTTTTATAATTTTGTCTATTCAAGAATGGTATATAAATGGAATCATACAGTATGAAACATTTAGAGGTTAGCTTTTTCACTCAACATATTCCATTGACATTAATCCAAGTCATGTGTCTCAATGTTCATTCTTTTATTGCTGAGTAGTATTCTATGGTAGGGGCGTACCACAATTTGTTTAACCATTCACTCACTGAAGGGCATTTGAGTTGTGTACAATTTTTGACTATCATCAATAAAGCTACTGTAACATTTGTGTTGGTGTGTAGGTTTTTTTTGTGAACATTCATTCCTCTGGGATTAATAGCTGAGAGTGCCTTAATAGTCATTTGGTAAGCACATGTTTAGTTTTTTAAAAAACTGCCAAATTCTTTGCAACTGGCTTCTTACCATTTTTTTTAATCTCTCTGTACATACACTCTCTCCCCATGGCTTTTAGATATGTGTGAATAGATCTGATTTCAACAACTAGTCCCCTGAGGTAGGGACCATGATCAATTTATTTTTATAACCTTCACAGTTCATAGGAAAGTATATTATTTATGGCACATACTCAATAAAGATTTATTAAATAAAGAATGAAGGTAGTAATAAAATTAAGCAAACATAGCAATACATGAGAAATTTTTTAAAAGGAATTACTCTGCATAGAAAAAAAAAACAGATTGGGGTGCCTGGGTGGCTCAATCAATTGAGCATCTGGCTTCGACTCAGGTCATGGTCCTGGAGTTCTGGGATCGAGCCCCACATTGGGCTCCCTGCTCAGTGGGGATTCTACTTCTCCCTCTGTCCTTCACCCTGCTCCTGCTCTCTGGCTCTCACTCTCTCAAATAAATAAATAAAATCTTTAAAAAAAATAACAGTATTGCCTTCATGAATGTATTATGCCATAATTTTTATAATTCTGGGCTTTACCACAGTACCTCCAAGTATCTCGTATTGCTTGATAAATAATCTTGCTCTCCACACTTTCCCACGTGGTACACAATCAAATACAGATTAAAAGACATGGATTATATGATGATCCTATCCTTGTGCCTGCTTATCTACTGATACATAATGTCTTTAATGGTTTCCTGACACATCTGTATCAATTTCTATGCTGTGCTTGTGGAATGGATTTCAGTATAAGGATATACTTCATAAATATTTGTTGGTCTCAATTTTAATAACCATGACTATCATTTTTTTGTCTTAATAAAGTTTTTAGTGTACAACTCTCAAGGTGGAGTGGAAGACAGAGCTGTGACATGCAATTAGGAGATGTTCCTTAGTTTACATTGATCCATTTCCATTAGTCAATACCTCTTCGGCACAGCTGTAGCCAGCTTAAATAAATACCACAGTCAATCACTGTAATTACTGCCCTGCACATACCTTTGACTCCTGTACTTCTCTCTTGCTTCACCACCCTATGACACTTGCTTTTTACCACAACCCTGATAAAATCCAAATCTCCACCTGCCATTGAACATGTTTGGAGAAAAATACAAAACCACACTGACAGGTCTAACTTCAAATTCAGGAGCACAAACCTCTAGCACTCTCAGGGCTTCGCCAGCATCATGTGACCCTTCATTGTTCACCCTCCCATTCTTTTAGATGTCTATTTCACATCTTTTCTTCTCCTCAATTCCCCTAACACCTCCTTCTCCATCCCCATTCTCCACAGATGATCTTGCTTCTCACCTCCTTCACTGAAAATTGAAGCATTCTGAAGAAACCCTCCACCACCTCTATTCTCATGTCAGCAGCTGCTCCTGCAATTTGGCCTTTCTACCTGTTCCCCCAGGTGCTCTGATCGAAAGCCAATCCCTCCACCTATACACTAGATCCCATCTTCTCTCACCTACTTAAGTTATTTGCTCCAGCAGCTCTTCCTTCTCTTTCCTACTTTGTCATTTTCTTTTTGTTACTTCCTTAATCTTAAACAAAGAAACAACAAGCACACATACACCCAAAAAATTATCTTGACTCCACTTTCTCCATCAGTTGCTGCTCCAAGACTTTGCAGGAAAGCTTTTTGAAGAAATCGGTCTATATTTACTATCTCCTATACCTCTTCTTCCGTTATTCCTTAAGCACATTTCAGTCAAACTTTGACTCCAAAATTTCACTAAAACTACTCTTTGCAAGGACATTAATAGTCCCCATGTTGCTAAATATAATGGTAGAGTCTTAATGGATGAGTCTTAAACGTCTCATCAATAGCATTTGGCACAGTTGATCTCTGCTTCCGCTTTCCTAAACCATTTTTTTTTCAGGGCACTGCATATTTCTGATTTCCTGCTACTCTCAGATTTTGCACTCACAGACTAGTCTCATTTTCTGGTTGCCCTCCTTATCCTTGACCTCCTAATGTTGGCTGACTCCAAGGCTAAGACCTTGTAACTCTTCTTTGATGATCTCATTCAGTTTCATGTTTTGCTCTTTTGTTTGTTTTTAAGATTTTATTTATTTATTTGACAGAGAGAGAG